AAACCCTAAATCCCCTAAATCCCTAAACCCCAAAACCCTACACCCTAAACCCTTAAACCCTAAAGCCCTAACCCCTAAACTCCCCCAAACCCCCAAAGCCCTAAACCCCAAAGCCCCTAGTGCCTAAACCCTAAATCCCTAAACCCTAAATCCCTAAACCCGTAACCCCTAAATCCCTAAACCCTAAATTTCCAAACCCTACACCCCCAAAGCCCTAACCCCCCAAAGCCCCAAACCTCAAAGCCCCAAACCCCCAAACCCCAAAACCCCAAACCCCAAATCCCCAAATCCTGCATCCCTAAACCCTAACGGCCTACACCCCCAAAGCCCCAAAACCCCAAAACCCTGAAGCCCTAAACCCCCAAACCCTCAACCTCTGAAGCCTTCAATCCCTGAAGCCCTAAATCCCTAAACTCTAAAACTACACCCTAAACCCTAAACCCTAAACCCCCAAAGCCCCCAAAGCCCCCAAGCCCAAAACTGACCCAAAGGCTGCTGTTGCACGGATTGCCAAAGCCCAAACAGCCCTAAGGGCACTCCGGGCCCGGGAAGCCCTAAACCCGTTTGGGGTTTGGGGTTTAGGGTTTGGGGTTTGGGGTTTAGGGTTTGGGGTTTGGGGTTTGGGGTTTGGGGTTTGGGGTTTAGGCTTTGGGGTTCAGAGTTTCGGGTTTAGGGTTTAGAGTTTAGGGTCATCCAGGGCTGAGGGTTTAGGCTAAAATTAGGCTTCCGGGTGCACGGCAATCATTCACAAGCACTCCGCCTCGACATCTTCCAGTAACACCGTGAGGTTTGCTGCAAGGGCTCCCTATTCCGTAATGCTGCAATATACCACACTATGTCATGTTCTGTTTTGCTCTGTCTGCTATGCCCTACTTCTACGGTTTTCTCCAGACTTCCCAGGCCCCGACGACTGGAAGAGCAAACCGACTGGCGGCTACCACTGTAGCTCGGCTGATGGGTTCGTGGGTGTTGGTGATTTTGGCGTAGGGTTTGGGGATTGGGGTTCAGGTTTAAAGCTTTTGGTGATTTTGGTCTCATGTTTCCTCATCTTTACGATGAATAGTTGTCTTCGCAGCAGCATGAGGAGTAGACGTAGCAGTACAAGTAATATAGAAGCCAAGATAACTACCCGTGTTATTCCTTATTATCAAACCCTAAACCCTAAACCCTAAACCCTAAACCCTAAACCCTAAACCCTAAACCCTAAACCCTAAAGCCTAAACCCCTAACCGCAATCCCTCAACTCAAAGCGTTGAGGCAAGCACAAGCTCACGCGCCAGACCTCTCAGACGGCTTACGAGGCGAATGCTCACATCTAGAAGTTGGGTTCAGGTTTAGGGCAGTTGGGGTTGAGTATGTATGCTATCCTGTATAGTATGTGTTTTATGGTTTATAGTACATAGTTTTGGTTTGGGGGTTTTAGGGTGGTTCGGGCTTTAGGGCTTGTTTAAGGTTTAGGGATGTAGGGTTGAGGGTGCTTAGGTGGTTTACTTCAGGCTTGTTTGGGGTTCAGAGGTTTAGGGGACTCGGGTTTCGGGGCAATAACCTAGGGTTTAGGGTTCAGGTTTACGATTCAAGGGGGTAGGCTCAAACCCTAAACCCTAAACCCTAAAGCCTAAACCCTAAACCCATAACCCAGGCTCAAACCCACACGCAACTCAAAGACGAAAGCCCCAACAGGGTCTTTATCCGACTGCTCCAAACCTCAGCTGAGATAGGGGCCTTAATCTAGGCTGGTTTTTGGAACATTTTTGATTTTCCTTAGTTGGGTTTATAAGGGACCCTTGATATATATATATATATATATATATTTTTTTTTTTCACTGGGTTTAAAGGCCAACCCGGTAATACTTAGAATAGGCTTTTGGGGAACATTATAGGATTTAGGGTTTAGGGTTTAGAATTGGGAACCCCCAACTCTTTTTGGCATCGAAATTTCTTAGTTTATGAAGCAGGGTCCTCTACCCAAAAGACTAAAGCCTGAAGACTGGTCGGTTTCGCTGAGGGCGTAGCTCTCAAAGACCATAAAGGATCCTCTCAGGGTTCCCTTAAGGGATCTCTGTTAAGGGATCCTCGAAGGGTTCCGTTAAAGGGCCTCTGCATGTAGTATGACGGGCATTCATGACAAGACAACAGCTGACAGCCGCAATCCCGAGTTCAGCACTGCATTCGCTCGGTCGTGATTCGAGCTGGTATTGAAGCAAGAGTTCTACGAATGGCTCAGAAGCAAACAACTATAGGAGCACCTCTATGATAGCAGGCACGTTCAAACCCTAAACGCTAAAACCCTAACCCCTAAACCCTAAAACCAGGAGCACATGCAATCGACACAGGCACAAACCTCATCCTACCCAGATAGTTATGAGGGACCCAGCGTTGTTCCCTAAAACCCTAAACCCTAAGCGCTGAAGCACTCTGTTTTACTCCATTGAGGCCCCAATAACAGGCTCCTCCTTGTAAGGAATTCTATACTGTACTGCACCCTAAACCCTAAACCCTAAACCCTAAACCCTAAACCCGGTGGAAAGGGCCCTTAAAAAAAAACAAAAAACACAAAGCCCTAAACCACGGCAGAGGAGTCGGGCGGAGCCTGCCGACCAGTGAAAGAGGGCCCTTTCCCGGATGAAGATTGCCATGTCCGGGCCACAGCTACGCCGGGGCTTTAGGGTTTAGGGCCTTGATAGTTAGAATAGGGCTTTGGGGATTTCTTTACAGGGATCCTTAAAGGGTTCTATAAGGGATCGATAGTAGGGTTCTATATTAGGGGGCCTTGATAGTTAGAATAGGGATGCTAAAGCCTAAAGCCCTAAGCCCGAAACCCAACAGACTAAACTGACTAAATCCTAAAACTCCACGGCCCTAAAGCCTAAACCAAAGCCCAAAAGCCTAAGCCCTAGTGCTGGGCTTCGGACTTCAGAGTATCGGGCTTTCTGGTGTTGGACAACACGTGCAATCCAGAATCCTCAAGGTTTAAGGTTTAGGGTGTAGGGTTTAGGGTTTAGGGCCCGGTTTAGGATAACCTTAAGCCCTAAGCATCTGACGCGTCTTTTTACGGTTTAGGGTGTAGTGTAACCTTAAGCCCTAAACATCCGGAGTGTCTTTTCCTTCCAGATTTCGTAAACCAGACAGTTTAAGGGGTTTGCATGGCACAGTGATAGTCTCAGTAACACCAATGGTTCGGGATTTGGGTTCAGGAGGTCTTTGCAGCACGCCGTTTCGGAAGTCCGTTTGCGAAGCGTAAAGCATGATCCCCCAAAGTGCACCGCAGCGATGAGTGAAGTGTGACAGCCCACAATTATGAGCTCTTCTTCTGTCGTCCCACGGTAGTAGAAGCGCTCGTAGTCGGCATAGTGGTGGTGGTACGAGGAGTAATAGTTGCAGCAGCAGCAACAGCAGTAGCAGTAGCTGAGCAGTGGCGGAGGCAGCGGTAGCGAGTAGTGGGAGTGGTAGCACGTAGCAATTTGTAGGAACCTGATGAAGAAATGCTGACCCTATAACCCCGACAAATTAGGATCCATATCAAGAGCCCCAATAACGACCCAGGGTTTCTCAATCAGGTTCCCATGTCCCATATTTTTTCGGTCCCGGAAATAGTACGGCACCCTTATGAGAAAGGACCCATTTTGGATCCTTTTTCAGAGAACTGCAGGTGTCAATGATTCAGTATTTGAGTCTGTTGAGGATTGCGCTTGCGTTAGTGCTTGCGTGAGGGTGCAAGGTTTTCTATAAGGGTTTTACAAGGGGTCTTAGGGTACCCGTAGTCTCCATTGTAGTTCCTCTTTTCTGTTCAACTGTTGAGTTTTAGGCTTTGGGTGCTTTTGAGATCATGGGTTCTTTCAAACATCTCTTTTGCGAGTCCTGCGAGTGCACCTAAACCAAACCCGACAACCCCAAACCCAAAACCCTGAATTCAATCCCAAAAACCCAAAACCCTGAAGCCCAAAATCCTAGAACCCTGAAGCCTAAAACCCTAAAGCCCTAGAACCCTGAATTTCTACAACCTTGGAGCCCTGCTAAGGACCAGTGCTATGTCGGCATGGCAAAGCCTGAGGGAGGATCGGGCTCGGGCTCCTTCCACCATGATGGATCTTCCTACCACCACGGCGGCTTTTTAGTAGCTGCAAGAGTGCCTGTTTACGCTGTCAGGCGGTTTTCTTATCCCTTACAGCCCTAGACCCTAGACCCTAAACCCTAAACCCTAAACCCTTAACCCTAAACCCGGCTTATGAGCTCAGCAGCCAAGGCTCCTACTATCATGATGGCTCCTACTACTACGGCCTGGGCCCCTCCTTTGAGACCGGCCCTTCCTACGCCCACTCTTATGGAGGCGCCTACCATGATGGTGGCCTCTATCACGGTGGCTCCTATCATGGGGGCTCTTCCTACACCATGGGAGGTCATGGGGGCTCTTCGTACACCATGGGAGGTCATGGTGGCGCCTCCTACACCACGGGAGGCTCCTACCACCACGGTGGCTCCTCATACTACCAGCATGGTGGCCACTACTCCTACCACTCTTCCGGTGGCCACTCGTACAAACTCGGAGGCCACTACAAGATGCGCGGTTCCTACGGCGCGCATCACGCTGCTTGCCTAAACGATAGCCTTTTGCCTGAAAGCTTAAACTCTGAGTGTAAGATCTAAACGACAAGCCCTAAACCCGGTAACCTGCAGCTTAAACCCCGATAGAACCTCTATTAGCACCCTTAACTTCATAGTGGAACCCTTGCGCAACCTTCATGGAACCCAGGAACCCAAGAGCCTAAGACCTAAAACACCCTCAAATGGGTTGGACCCGCCTAAATCCTAAACCCTAAACCCTAAACCCTAAACCCTAAACCCTAAACCCTAAACCCTAAACCCTAAACCCTAAACCCTAAACCCTAAACTCTGAAACACCCTCAAACAGGCTGGACCGGCGGACCGAACGTTTTCGGTCGAAGCTCCTGTTCCCAGAGAACTCAATACCCCGTAATTAAGGAATATACCTTAAATTATAATATTAAGGCCCCTATAATTTAAGGTATACTCCTTAATTAAGGTGTATTGGGTTCTCTGGGTTCCTAGTTTTGGGTCATGGTAGCCGGGGGTTTGGGGAAAGGAGCTTTGGGTTTTTGGATTTTAGGAACTAAGGCCCTAAACCCTAAACCCTGAAGCCTAAGCCCTGAAGCCTAAAGCCTAAACCCTAAACCCTGGAACCCTAAACCCTGAAGCCTAAATCCTAAACCCTAAACCCTGAACCCTAAACCCTAAATCCTGAACCCTCAACCCCAAACCCTGAAGCCTAAATCCTAAACCCTGAACCCTGGAACCCTAAACCCTAATCAAGGGCTTTGGGCTTGCAGGAGCTTAGGTTTTCAGGAGAGGAACTTGGGGTTCTAGCGATTTCGGGATCATTGGGTTCAGGGTTTAGGGTTTAGGATCTGATCAGAGGATCTTACACTTTGGATTGTAGGATGCAATAGAGGGCTTTAGGCAGATAGCTTGTTGGATTGTACCATCCTTTGTTGGCTTGCCTGTTTTAGCTTGCCTTAGCTTCCTGCTGTAGGATACTACCCATGAAAACGGTTTAGGGTCTAAAAGGGTTTAGGGTTTAGGGCTCCATCAGAGCCCGGAACATTGAAAGGCCAGAAACGTAGGAGCTTTGAGGCTTACTGCAGGCGGCGGAGGATTTAACTAGCCGGACTCCAGACTAATTGCCAACTTAAAAGACTTATCAACAGCATCCACTTCAACTCCACACCTAAACCCTAAACCCTAAAGTCAGTGCAGCTGTGCGATACTAGCGAGCCCGGGGAGAATCGAGCGTTTCGGGAGGGTCGAATCCTGGCATCCCCAAAGCCTCACGGTTAAATCTCTGCCGAGGTTTAGGGTTTAGGGTTTAGGGTTTAGGGTTTAGGGTTTAGGGTTTGTACTGCAGGGGCCGAAATAATTACCTATACTATTTTGGGGGTTCCTTATTGTAATTATAGTACAATGGGCCAAAAAAAACCCTATTCTAATTATTAAGGCTTCTACATTACCCTAAACCCTTGAACCCTAAACTCGAAGTCTTTAGACTCTATGCCCTAAACCCTAAACCCTATAACCCCTACCCTAAGCCCCGAACGGGTGAAGGTTACCCATTTAGATATATATTAGCATGAGAAAAACCTACCACTACTAATCCTGAAGGTTCCTGACGTTGAAGTCTAGAGCAACCCTTCAATTACCCTCCCCGACCCCAGTCTAATTCTTAAGGGTTTAGGGTTTAGGCATTAGGGTAATTCTTAAGACCCCCTAAACCCTAAACCCTAAACCCTAAACCCTAAACCCCCTGTCTTAAGCACAGAACCCTACTGAAGGGCTTAGGCCACTTAATGACCCGGGCGTTCCGGGGGAAAAAACGGTCGGCGAACCGAGAGCCGGGATCATAAATGGGACCCTAAGCCCTAAGCCCTAAACGG